ATTGGTCGACGTTTTCATACATATAGCGCATTTTGAGAGATATTTTAAGATTTACTGAAAAACTGGAAACTACTTTTTCACTCCCTTTTTGAAGGAGCTCCCTAATCAGATCTCTTAGTCAGGTTCCGTAACCAAACCAAGCATTATCAAAGTGCCTCCAGAGGAAGCTTGCTACAGTTTCATGACCACACTGGTTAACAAGCCGCCAACATGTCCGACAGAAATGAGTGAAATTTTCTTACTAAATTACTTATTTTGTCGAAAATACCTGATACTATAAACAACCAAACTGTGGATATATATGAGCCGACCAGAAGTATCACCCGGATTATGTTAATGACTATATTACTCTCTAGAATATAAATATTAGCTACTTATTACGGCTATACTGAGGATGTTCATTACTAATAGCTTCCATTCTGTTTCCTTCTACGATTACTCTACGATTGGGACTGTCCCTGACGAAATCGACAAGACGAGGCAAAGCAAACTAAACTATGGCTTGCTTGCATTTCTCATCAAAAATACACCTTTATAGATAGATAGTTAGATACACGGATATATGCATGTATATATTCAAATAGATATATATATGTATATATATACATATATGTACATGTGTGTGTGTGTGTGTGTGTGTGTATGTGTGTGTCTGTGTGTGGTGTGTGTGTGTCCGTGTGTGGTGTGTGTGTGTGTTGAATACAATATATCATTTGTATTCCATACCCTTCTGTAAGTTTGTTCATCGAGCATGTTTATATTTTGCTAAGGTAAGTGAATAGCTACATTATAACACAGTTATTTACCAATTGATTGTGTATGATTTTATGTATGTATCTTCCTATTCATCTCTCTATATATATTTATATATATCTATATTTTTATTCACTGCGCGTTTGCGTGTGTCTAAAAGACTGAAATCATTAATGAAGGTAAAGATAAATATACATAAAAAGTAATAACAAGATATGAATGATAACTGAGCTTTCGGAAACTAAAGAGCATGGCGTATGCAACATGCTACTCAATAGGCAAGATTTATCTGAGAAATGTTGTATTGTTGCTTTTTCTCATGCACTAAAAGTTGTGCATATCAAAGTTAGCATTTTATTATTTGGTTCTAGATTTTTCTAGTCAATATCAATTTAATACATTTGAGAAGATGATGACAGCGGTTGCAATAATTACGACGATGTTGATAATTTTGATGATGAGATGGCGAATCTGAAGACACCCCCCCCCTTGCTTGTCGTTGTCGCGGGGAGGGGGGGAGGGGAGGGGTTCAGCCCCGCCTTGGACCTCAGCCCTCACCTCCACACATTTTGCATGGCCCTTTCTTCTCCCCCGTTCCTTTTCCTTCTCTTCTTAACCCACTTTACCATAGTGTTATGTGGCCTTTGATGTCTATCGCATTTATTTGTTTTAACCATTAACCAATCTAATGCAACATGTTCTTTACCTTCATATATCCTGATTCTGCGCGGGTCAGATGTTTCCAGGAAGAAGAGTGGCAGTATACTGAGAGCGAAAAGAAAGAAGTCTTTGTATAGAAAAAAAAAATAATAATAATCATACAGGTGTTTCACACGTGTGTACGGTGGGGTAACAACATCTGCGTTAAACCAGGCTCGTCGTTCGAGGCCTCCACGTCAACACCAACGCCTGCGACCCGGTGGGAACCACCGGTCACGTCACCACGCCCAAGGTAAGGATAAGGATAAGTCCGATATGCGAAGCTGAATCTCGCCCGGGCTATGAGGGGAGCCCGGCCTGTGTCGACTAATGTCGACTCGCTAACAGTGTGTCGGCTGGTGCTGACTCGGCTTTGTCCTTACCCGCCGTGGTGCCTGTAAGGTTTTCAACCTCCTTCCTCCCCCCCCCCATTTCCCATCACCCCCCTTCCTAGCCCCGATCCTCCTATCCCTCTAGTCCTCTTATTCGCACCCTCTTTCTGTCCCCTCGCTTTTTCTCTCCTCTCTCTACTTCCACGATAGCTTCTCCCTCTTCTACTCATTTTCCTTGCTTGTTCTACCTTTTATCTCTATCCCTATACTATCCTCCCTCTATCCTATCCCTATCCTGCCCTGTATCCTGCCGCATTTCCCCTCGTACCCCTCTTATTCGCACTCTCTTCTTGTTCCTTCGCTTTTTCACATCCTTCTATCTCTACGCTAATTTCCCCCTTTTCCATTCCTTTTT